TTAATATAATTATTCATTGCACTTCTATATTCTATTTTTTTCAAAATTTTGCTCTTTTAGTTTTTATTCTTTTTCTCTCAAAATAATATATATTTTTTAATTTAAAATTTATTTAGAATACTAGTTATTTTTTAAATTTTAAAAGAGATAAATATCTCAATGATAAAAATTATTAAAAATTAGTAAATAAAAAATTAATTTTTATTTTTAATACAAATTAATGATAAAAAAAATGTGTTTATTACACTTTTAACCACCTCTCTCATAATACAAGCTAAAAAAACCCTATGGTTATTATTTGGAAAAGGGATAACATACAAGTGTTACAAATGATGAAAAAATCACATCAAAAGGTTAAATCCTCCTTCATTAGAGAAAGTCTGTGGTATCACCGGGATACCACGTCAACGGTATCCCGATCCAATTAAAAACCCCCCACATCACCCTTTTCTTTTATACCTCATCAACCAGATAACGGAGGGAAAACAAATGGCAAAACTAAATTAACTCACGGCGAATTTAACTCACAGGCAAATCTTTTCAAAATAAAGTTCTCAGCACTCTTTTTTCTTCGGCATCTCCCCAACTCTTCCTTTAGCATCTTTTTCCTTTTATCATTTTGTTTTCTTTCTAATTTTATTTTTGAACACAGCTACCATATTCTTCTCTTCACAGCATCTGTAGAGACTCAACGGTCATAGCTATTGCAATTTGAGATTGCAATTGCTAAGTTTCTTGATGAAACTAACTATTTTCTCTTGCTTGGGTATAGCTATTTTTAATTAATAATTTGCAATTGCTAGGTTTTGCTTGTGCAATTTGTGGATGTATGCTTTTTGGTTAATTTGGTTGATTTGGCTGAAGGAAGAATAGTTAGAACTATTTATAAGAAATTAAACATTTTTCATGCCCACAAACTGTTTGATGTATTTCTTGAATTAAGATTACCTACAAGGGGACAATGTTTAAGCAAACTTGAGGAAGATTTTGTTCTTTTTCACAAAATTCCTGTGTTTTTGATGTATTTCCTGACTTATAGCATCAACGGGACATTCTTTGTTGGCTAGGATAACTCTATTTATTGATCATTTATTGAGTCTAAATATCATCTTGATTGGAGATAAGTTTAGTGTGCCTTTTCTATGCCATTGGTGATAATATATAACTTGCATCCATAGCATTAGAAGATGAAATTCTTGCCTTTTCTTGTCGATTTTTTTAGTTTGTTTGCTATGCAAGTCATTGATTTTTGGTTAGCTAAGCAACCTATAAACCCTCAAACCAATGACATATAGATTGAGAATGGGACTAAGATGTAAAGTTCAAAGAAGTTGGCTTTTCATTATCTAGGAAATCCTATTCAGGGAGTTAGCCATGG